AAAAAAAAAAAAGCACTTTGAGTAAAGCCGTTCTATTTCAGATTTCTTTGCAGTTTCTTGGAAAAAATCCGTTTTTTCATGTCCATGTGAGGCAAAACGTGACCCTGACGGCGTCCTCTAGTCTGCTACATGCTTTGCTGTGACACTCGGTGTTTCTCGGTATTGCTAATTTTACCTAAACAAGAGATCTGAAGAGTTCCCTTCGGTTAACCGTCAGGGTTGCTCTTTTGATATCTCAATGGCCGATCTAATGTGCATCATCAATGTTCACGAAACCCTGAAAAACAGCGACAGAGCGTCTGCCGAGAAACAGCTTAATGACAGCTTAAGTTGTTATGCTGATGCAACGACAGTAAATATATTGCAAAAGAAGTCAATTATACTTTTAGGATGAGAAAAAAGTTACGTTGTCCCATTTCTCCCATTAAAAAAACCTGAAAAAAAAATACAACAAACCCTCTATTTTGCCCTAATAACCCCTCAGAAGCCCTACATGTGACTCACAGGCTTGGATGGGCTGTAAAGTTACGGCACTACATTACCCCGATGCATATGTACCAAGTTTCGAACACAGAATGAAAAACATCTTCCCACAATTATGATTCGCTCGTGATTTATTTCTAAAATAATGCTTTCACCTCAAACTCCAGATCCATTGCATTACTCCTCGGTAACCATACCACCCTGCTTCTCTGTCGCACACACACACACACACACACAAACTCATATTGCAATAATCAAATCCTGCACTCCTGCTACTTTATAAAAACATTATGGGAGTTAACCTTATTTTTCAGCCAAACCAGCACATTCTTGATGCTGCCTGCCTGCTGTTACAGAAGAGGGAGAAAAAAGAAAAGAAAGAAAAAGACAAAAGAAATGAAGGAATGAAGGGGAGGTTTAATTTATTCTGCCTTATCAGACCAACTCCACCCTCCGTTATGGAATGTATATGAATCAAATGAGGCCCAAAATCTGGGGGAAAAAAAAGTGTTTCAAAGATGCTGTGGAACATCCTTACAAATCTGTGATAAATAAATGACTCAGAAACACAGATAAGAATCTCAGAGATCATCTCACACTCATGGGTGTTGACGCTCTTTTAGCAGCAAAGCATACTTAATAGTGAGTTTAGTTTAAGAGATTATCACTTTCTCCTACATGCTCTTCACAGGAGGGTAGTTATACAACCATTGCAGCAGTGACAGCACACACAAACAGCAGCACCGGCTGCAGAAGGCCTCCGTTCTCTTGAGGAAACTGATGATTTCTGAAATGCGGTGGCAGCTTTTCCCAGAGCCCCGCTGAAGCACGTTCAGGAAAAGCTGGTCTGCAAGGTTTTTTCCTCCTTTTGTTTGTGTATTTTTAAAAAAAACGATAGGAGGGAAATGTAACAAAAGGATGGATAAGGCTTGTTTTTATGGGAGAGTTGGTGCAGAGTTTTGCCACTAGGGAGCGTCAGGGACTGGATAAAGTACAAAGCTGTGTTCTGCCTGTGTGTCCGTCCGCACGTCGTTTTTGTCTCTCGCAGCACAACCAGCCTGTGATTACATTTATTATTAACTGCGCGAGGCAACAGGTAGAACTTTATACCGCTGTTTAGTCTGGTTGATGCCGAACTAATGATTAAACGTGATACTCTGTTCATCATCACAAACATCTCCTGTGCGTCCACCCTCAGATGAGTCACTCGGCTGTTTGCAGACCGATCGCTTGGCTCTCTGCTGCTTTACATTGCAAATACACCCGTGTTTACATTTGCTCCACACTGACAATGGTCACTATGGGTTACCTTGACTCACAACACAGGTAGCCAATCACAGGAGGACAGGGGGGGTGTACTCAGTTCACTGGAAAAAAAAAAAAAAAAAAAAGAGGAAGCAAGAACTGACAAGGAATAAAGAGAAGAAGAAGAAAAAAAAACATCAGCCCGATCTCCACTGATCACTGATCTTTAGTCTGTGTCGCCGTCTGTCTGGTGACTGGAAATTCACAAAAAAGGAAACTGATCCCAGGTCAGTAAGCAGATGAAGGTGTTTGCCAAAAGTAATGAGAACAATTTCCGTTTCTCTCCTGGATCCTGCAGGCAGCTGCTGCTCTGTCACATTCAGACACCAGCTATAAACACAAGGTAAGATCACTGCTTCTTATTCCGTACGACCGCTCCAACACTCTGTATCGTCAGAATACTCACAGCAACAGAAGAATATGACCCTTTAGCTGTCTGTGTGTTTTGTGACATGTGCTGAAGGGAAAGTGAAAGTACTTTTCAAGTTTCTGAGCAGGGCTGTTTAAACACAGCACCAGACAGTGTTTATTAAAAAACGACATTTAAATGATTTATTTGCAGTGACAGCTAAAACCACTCGCACGTATTCAGGTCAGGAAGGTTGTGAAAACAGGGTTGCGACCACCTCCACTGTTCTCCGGCTCTCAATCTCCTGCTCTCAACACACACACACACACACAAACACACACACACACACACACACCATATTTCGCTGTGTTCATTTAACAAGGCCCGGTTACCCCAAGCAACAAGAGGGGCTTATCAGCTGCTCCCTCACTTGCCATACTGTTATCAGCCTGGCCTAGTTCACATACACACACACACACACACACACTCTCTGCCCCTTTCTGTCAAACACACTCGCGCTCTTTCTATCTCGGTCTCCGACTCTCTCTCTCTCACAAACTGGGGAATGAATGTTATGGGGAGCTTATCAGTGTCCTTAGGGGCTTGGCAGCCACTTCACAGACTCAGATCCCAGTGCCGAGGCCACAGAGACAAACCTATGTGACCAGAGTGCTGATGAACAAAGGCTCTATACTGCGAGAGAGTCCTCTATAGAGGCGGCAGGCTGCAGGGCACGCTAACAATGAACATGTACACATGGCACAATGGCAGGCAGCGGTGGCTAACGCTCAAAGAAAAAGAGGAATGTCACAAATACAGGTGTTCTGCTCGGCCGTGACGTCAGACCGGCGGAGCCTCATTGTGTTGTTCACGTCTACAAAACACAAGCTGCGCTCTTCATGTTTTGTAAGACGCTCATTTTTATTAAAATCAGCATGGCAGCTCGCCCTACTGTACACCCGGAGCCGGATTTTCAGGTTAGGAAGCAGATGTTAAGATAGTTACGTTCACGTCCCGTTTTAACTGACAGGAAACGACAGAACACATGTATAGAAGAAACGAGTTTTGATTTTAAAATTGCAATCTATTGTGACCACAGGCAGGTGGCAAATTAAAGGAAAACACAGTGTGTTAGTGTAGTGTTGGAGTCACCACGTGGTGCCAGAACAGCTTCAAAGCATCTGGAACGCTGCTGAATCTGTGAACGCCATTCTTCTAAAAGACACTTCTTCATTTGGTGACGATGCTGGTTGAATGTCGTCGAACACCATAATCTCCTGTAGGTGTTTCTCTAGCCAGACCATAACAGTCGCATCATTTTCTTCTTTAACAAAACCACTCAATGACCCCTCATGCCCAATAAACCAGAGCATTGCCATCCTGGAAGAGACGCCTGCCACCGGAGTAGAAGTGTTTCGTCAGAGGATAAAGGAGATCACTCACAACAACATTGTTTTGATTTGCAGTGAACTGTCCTTCTGAGGCCAGTGTTAAACTTTCCATGTCTGCAAGTACGTGAGGGTTTGCTAAGGTCGGTGTGATGTACATTTCGCCCTCTGCTCAAGTCCGTGAGAGTTTACGTGGAGGCTTTCGTGGACGTTTGCCCAAATTTGTGTTTGTGTGCAACCACACCAGAAGGCAGGTAGTCCACATTCTGACCAACAGCGTGGATGTGCAGAATATGCTGTGATTATACTTCCTTGTGGACGTGCATGCAGCGACTGTGGACAGCACAGACATGGGAGGCCACTTGAACTCAGCTCCATATACAGTATGTCACACTTCTGCAAATATTTTATTATATCTTTTCATGGGGCAACACTGAAGAAATGACACTTTGCTAAAATGTAAAGTAGTCAGTGTACAGCTAAATTTATTGTCCCCTCAAGATAACTCAACACAGCCATTAACGTCTAAACCACTGGCAACAAAAGTGAGCACACCCCTACGTGAAAATGTCCAAATTGGGCCCAATTCGTCACTTTAGCAGTGTCATGTGACTCGTTAGTGGTACAAGGTGTGAATGGAGAGCAGGTGAATTTGGTGTTATCGCTCTCATGCTCTCTCATGCTGGTCACTGGAAGTTTAACATGGCACCTGGTGGCTAAGAGGATCTGAAAAAAAGAATTGTTGCTCTACATAAAGGTGGCCTCGGCTATAAGAAGACCGCCAACACCCTGAAACTGAGCAGCAGCACGGCGGCCAAGACCATACAGCGGTTTAACAGGACAGGTTCCTGTACGCGCAGGAGGTCGTATCTACAAATTCTGGACATCCACACCACTAACAGGCATCCACACTATCGCCCTCCACTCTGCATGGACACAGATTATGGGCTACACAAGGACATCTGTGGAACGGTCTGTGTAGACAAATTTGCATCATGTAGACACTAGTGGACCCTTGTGTACTCACAGATGCAGCAAGTGTGCTGGCCTAATAAAACCTTGGTTATACTTAGGTGGGGACACGCACACAGGAAGCGGCAGACACCCACAGACACACACTTATTAATAAACTACTTTTCTCATTTGTGAGAGTCCGCTTTGAAGACCCTGTTCAATACATGTGAAGTAGGTTGTACCTACATATTGTGCGTAAACACACGACCGCAGAGTGCGCACACTGTTGCCCTCGTAGCATAGCTGCTGTGCAAATTTTGGCCTGCACTCAGACGGTTGGTGAGGGTCCCTGCAGACTCTTACTGGTGAAACTGGCGTCACACTGACCCTAACAGAGCCTCATGTATGCACAGACATGAACATAGAACACCAGCCTGATAACAACTGGTGTCCACAGCTATCCATGTGTGTAGACTCAAGGTTTAAGGAGACACGTGGACTTAAGCCCAGCCAGTAATAAGAGCGCCTCCTTAGTGTAATGGACAAAGATCTGGGTTATTACCTTAATTTTACACTTGCATGTACATTGGGACACAACCTCAGAAAATGGTGAAAACTTGACATACGAGTAGATAGATAGATAGATAGATAGATAGATAGATAGATAGATAGATAGATAGATAGACAGACAGATAGACAGATAGATAGATACTTCCATTGGTGGTGCCTAAACATAGTGGAAAATTCCGAATTCTCCAGAAATCCAACTTCATTGGAATCAAAACTCAGACAAGCTAAAAACAGCCGCACTTGAGAGCAGAGTGACAAGCTGGTCGTCATAGCGCGGGAGTACATTACCAAAACAGAGAAGTTTTAACCCTGATTTCTACCCAGTCATGGCGTCAAGTTCGTACGAAAGGTGGAAGTTGGAGACGCTGCCGGACACACGCATCTAGTGCCAATGTTAGAGAGGTGATAGATAGATAGATAGATAGATAGATAGATAGATAGATAGATAGATAGATAGATAGATAGATAGATAGATAGATAGATAGATAGATAGATAGATCATACTAGAGGTAAATTCTTTTTTTTCTTAAAACTGATTTAAACAGTTAAGTGACTCTAAAAACTGTTACTGATGCTGGTAATTCTCTTGTTGCAGCTCCTAAAATCAGGTTTTACAAAACAGAACTACTTTTCTTGTTGACTTTAAACTATCCTCTGTTTCACTCGCGTCCCACCGAAATCATTGAGCGCTCAACAACTGCAGACATCAGAGGAAGTTGAAAATGAGAAGGCCACTGCTGGCAGAGGTGCTGGCAGTGGTTTGGCACAGAAACTCAGGAAGCGGTGCCTCCTAACTGAGCTGTGCTTCCTGTGTGATAACTGACCCAAACATGTTGAGTCTTTATGTGACACACAATGTAAGAAACACATTCACATTCTCTGTCACTTTAGCAGCTGCCGTGTATATATATACGTTAAAAACAGGAACTGGGAGACTTTGGAGGCTTTTTCAGCCAAACTGAGGATTACTGGGATTAAAATGCAGAAGCTCAGTGATTAGAATTAATTCTTTAGAAGCTATTTTTTTCCGCAGAGCAAAATCTATTGTACATACAACCTAAATGCTGGCGTAATCTTCGGAACAGAGGGGCTGAAGGTAAGCGCAGGTGTGGCAAGGCTTAAATTTGACACTCGTGCGGGGGAGGCAGATGTACAACAGCAGGAGAAATTGAGTCAAAGGTTCACTTCAACGAAAAATGTAGGAGAGCAGCAGGGAAACAAGACATAAGAGACCAGGCAATACAGAGGAATTACCAGCGTCGTGACGAGCAGAGAACAAGACAGGAGGGACAGAAAAACAAGCGAGGAGGAGAGAATAAGGGGGAGTAACGAAGGGGAGTTGTAGTTCTGTTCTGAACGTCTCCTTCACGGTCGTGTTGAGAGGAATGTGCACATAACGGCCCTGAAACATTGTGCAAAGACATGATGTTTCAAATTCAGCAACAGCTGCCTCCCCCCTCCCCGACTCGTACAAGCACACGCTGCCGTGCAAACGCTTCCTTCCTGTTGCTGGTTTAGCCCAGTTTAGAAGCGAGATAAGAGCAGAAGAATGAAGCCAAATGAGATGCTGTTTTCTCTGCATCTCAGACCAGAGGGGCCACATCTCTCGGTCTGATGACTATTTCATTAAAGACAGTTTGCCGCCTTGCGCAGGTGTGGCCTCGCTGTTTGCTTTGCCTCTAACGGCCCTCCACCTCAACACACATGTTCTCTCTCTGTGCTCTTCTCTGGCAGGTTCAGTCAGACCACAGGACAGTTCAGCAGCTCCCACTTCCTCATCGAGAGTCGAAGCCGAGCAAGCGAGCGAGGGAACGAGCGAACATGAGTGACTTCCTGTGACGCCTCTGTGTCTCTGGTCAATAAGTATCGTCACATCACTCTTGCTGCCGCATGGAAAGACACATCGTCGCATCAAGAGGGAAGCTCTCTGCTAGATCTACGCTGAAAGTGGATTCAGAGTTGCTCGGTTAATAATAGACGGCGTTGGAAGGCTGTGATGCTGGTTTCATGCAGATAGAGTTGTGTTTTGAGGATTTTTCAGCCATGTTACAGCAGTCAGAGCTCATTTTTGACTTTGCCAGTGACCATTTTGCCATGCCACAGGTGAGTCGGAGAGAAAAACGTCTTCTTTGTGAGGCAACGTAAATTTCATTCCTTGGAACCTGACCTCATCTGATTTCATTTTTTTGTGTGTGTGTCCTGCAGCTGGGGGGTCACTCAGATTACCCTGCAGTGATTGTGGAGCAGGTTCCACATCCTCATCTGTTCTCATATGCAGGTCTGGCGTGTGAACAGTCGCAGGAGGAGGAGGAGGATCACCAGCAGCTGCTCAGAGGTCAACATGCACACGCACACACACATACACACACACACACTACATCACATGATCTAACAGTGAAACCTTTTCTCGGTTAGGCTTCACTTCACATTATAAACTCACACCAGGTATCCAAGAGGGAGCCTCTCACACTGCACATGCGCAGTCGCAGCCCACGCACATGGACCACCCTCTGCAAAAATTCAGGAAGTGAAACAAAACATTCCTGGCTCGTTCTCTGGGAAAGACAGCTAATGAATCATATTAGGATGTAGACGTGGTCAAAGCGGGCTACAGCACACATGCTATAGCTTGTTCCTCACCGGTGCCGGCAGCTTAAAAGTAAGTTATATCTCCGTGTCGGGTTGCGGTTGTGCTTTTCCACAGAGGTAGTTGCTGAAGCTAGGCTCGGTTAGCTAACGGTACCACAAAGTCCCTCGCAGACACTTTTGGACCTAAAAAATGACAACTATTTCAGGACAGCAGCCCAGCTCTTGTCTTTCCATAAGTGTGGCCATTTGTTCTAACAAGCTGTGAGCTGTTTGTTTGTTTTTTTCTCGGCGGGAGAAAGTGTTTGAGTCCACGACAGACAGCTGTTAGCTAGCAGATGTTTTCTAGCTCACTGCCTCTCAGGCTGCTCACCTCACTCACACCCTCACAAAACAACAAACTCTCTCTTGGTAACCTTTAGCCTCAAGGACGTACATGTGGCAAGATTTATGCTGTTGGTTTTGGTGAATTACAGCAGCAAACAAAGTGTGTGTGTGTGTGTGTGTGTGTGTGTGTGTGTGTGTGTGGAGGCAACAGCTTTAAACACCAGCCTGTCAGATATTAGTGCTCCTCATTCAACAACAGTGACTCAATAAAGTAGCTTAGCCAAGGACAAATAACTCATAAGACTCCTGTGCTAGATAAAATAGTTAACTCATTAAAGGATCAGTTCGTCCAAACACAAATACACACACAAAAAATCTCCCATCCAAGGTAAATCTGCAGTTACCTGAAGCTAATTTAATCTATCACTTGTTTTAATGGTCCTTATAAACTCTTACAGCTGCAATAATTGGACCACATGCCTCTGTTTTCCACCACACGCCAGCTGTAACACCTTGAAAACAACTTTTGCAATTGTGATTGTGTGAAAAGTAATACAAAAGTAAGCAGAAAATCTAAACAGATGGCTGAAAATAATGGATAAATAGTGGAAATCTGCTGCTCAGGTCATCTTACTATAAATGCAAACTGACCACAGCTACTAAAATAATCCTGCACCTTAACATAGATAATTTTTGGACCAATGTGTTTTGTGCGAACTCATATGTGCGGCCATCGATAGCAGCTACTGATGAATCACTGTTGAGCAATTTCAGAAAAGCCCATTCCAGCTGATGATAAGGTGCACTGTTTTTGGGGCGTTATCTTTTAAACATTTTGCATTTATTTTACAGATGACCCTTTATAATGTCCAATAAAATCATAGGACAAAAGCATTTGTTTAACAAACAGCAACCCAAAACTGTAAGTAATGTCCACATTAAAACAAATCTGTATTTTTCTTAAGAGTAAATTTTTTGTTGTTGTTGTTTTTTGCATTATTTGACTGTACAATTAGACTGTTTTGCTGTTTTAAAATCAGCTCAAAGTATCAATATTTTACTGATATTTGCAGGGGTTTTTTTCTTTTTAAACCATTTTTACAGTTTTTGAACATTTCAGTATTCACGTTTAATTAATGTACTTTTCTCTGGCACCTTGTTGCCAGATTGTCAGCAAATTATGTTTGTACAGTACGCAAGTTAGTGTAGCTGTAGTGGTCTGGATACACAGAGTAATGGTGGCTTGCTTTTTTTAATGTAAAAAGACCAATACCGCCTCTCTCCGTTGTATTGGAAGGCCACAGCAATCCCAAAGGTACAAATTGTATAATTAAATCTATCTGCATTGCCAGATCTTGGTTAAGGTGCGTAGTTATTTTAAGAATTTGGCCGAACTGACCGCTGACAGTCAACCTTTACCTTCAGTGCATCTAATTTTCCTCTGTCTACCCTCCTCCACCGTCTCAGAGTGTTTTTTTTAATGTTGCGTCCTTCTGTGTGGTCTGCAGTGGAGACATGTGAAAGTGGAGAGGAGGAGATCATGGAGACACTTGTTGCCGCCGACTCGCTTCTCAACATGGACTGCGCCGACACCCTCTCCATGGAACACTACTGTAAGCTCTAACACTCAGTTCACACTGCACGCATGCTCACTCGACAGCGCGAAGATGCCCTCGTACGCCTCAAACCGTCCGCTCCTCGATGTAGGACATGTTTGGCTGCGAGTTGTTATTTATAGACGCGGTGGTTACAGTGCTGCTCTCTTTCATTAAGCCTGTTTATGCCCCCCTGCAGCCCAGACCTTCCTGCCATCGCTGGGTGACGTCATCACCACTCCTGTTACCCAGGTGACCGTGTCAGCAGAGGGGGTTGTGGGAGCTGTTGACCAGCCACACTGGCACTCGTTACACACAAAGAAACCTGCTGCACAGCTGCAGTCCAAAAAGAGAAGTCAGTCACTTTCTGGTTTATCAGCTCATCTAGACGGGAAATCTATGGCTTGTGGCATATAGCAAACAAATGACTTTTTGTCTGTGCAGGTAGAAAACCTCGGCACCGGAGGGCAGAGTCTCCAACACCAGATATTACAGTAAAGAAGGACAAATACAACAAAGGTAATGCCAAACATAACAAACCCTATAACCTCTCCTATGGTTTATCTATGGGGATACCACATGGATGCTGCAAGGACTGCGATTGGCTGCTTGTGTTTTCCCCAATTTTGGCTTGATGCTGCTGGATTTAGTTAAGACTGAACACAAAATTAAGCAAGTTTAAAAAAACACACACACAACAAATGCATCATGGCACACAGTTAAATAACCCAATGGAAGTTCTGTAAATCTATGTGTGCAGCTCACTGTTACTGGGTGTCACAGAACAAAGTGAAGAATTTAAACAAAGTTGCTGCAATGTGAAGCGCGATATGTTCTGCTGATATCAGAGGGTGAAATCTGACACTCGACTGCTATTCAAAGCCTACAGCGGGGTTCCTGTTAACCCCTTGTGGCGTCTATAAATTCAGCTTTTGCCTTTCAACGGCTTTTTTTTTCACCATTTTACCCAAGCGATCTGTCGTCGTCTGTGCTTTTTCCATCACGTTTCCTGTGTTTGTGCTTCAGGAGGAAACACCCTTTACCTGTGGCAGTTCCTGATGGAGTTGCTGCAGGACAGACAAGTCTGTCCCCGCTATATCAAATGGACGAATCCTCACGCGGGGATCTTCAAGCTGGTCAACTCGAAGGCCGTGGCCAGGCTCTGGGGAAAACACAAAAACAAGCCAGATATGAACTATGAGACAATGGGCAGAGCACTCAGGTACAACATGACTGCTTTAAAAAGCGTAATACCCCCGTAATAACGTCATGCTCTTTGGCAAAAACAGATCCGGGCAGTGTTTTTCAATAACTATCAATCGTAGTATTCAAAAGCATTCATGCAAATGTTAATGCATTTTTACATGTTTCACAAAGCAGAACTTTAGAGCAAATGTACATACACATAAAAAAAAAAGGTTTGTAAAGGTAATGTGGTGTATTTAACAGGTTGTAAACTGCTCATGTGATATAATAAAAATCAAAGGGAGTAAATGTGAACTGCACAGTGAACTTTATACTTCAGTGCAAGTCACCTGAAAGTAGGCAAAGCGTCAGTTGTGAGTGTCATCCTGCCGTCATTCACATATACACAACAACATACACACTGTAGATTATTAAGAAAGAACAAATTGACAACAGCAATAGTAGCCTGTTTGAAGCTTGTAGCGTGAACTCCTCCTGCAGTTTCCAGAGCTTTTAAGGATGCTTTTGGCCACAACTTAATACAGTCGTCCTCGTCGTAAGATGAATTTTGGGAACAGGGCCTTGATGAATTTATACTTCTGGTCTGTCAGTTGTGACCCAATACAGTCCTCGGCTTGTGTTTGTTAATATGGAATCATTGCATCCATGCAGGTACTACTACCAGAGGGGCATACTGAATAAAGTCGAAGGCCAGCGCCTCGTCTACCAGTTCACCTCTCTGCCCAAAGACATGATTTACATCACAGACGGAGACGGCATCAAAGATGAAGAAGACGACGACATCAGTGGCAACGATGACGTTGTGAGTGACGACTCTGACAGTGAGATATCGTCCAGCGACCAATCAGTGGAGGAGGAAGATGATCACCCACCGCAGAAGAAAATGTCGTCCGTCTCTGTCCGAGCCGCAGCTTCACATCGCGCCAGGTCGGCTCCCAGACCCACAGCTCAGCGCGACACCGTCCTGCGACCCGCCAGCACCAGCCTGATCCAGGAGCAGCATTTGCCTATTGTGTCTGCTGAGATGCTGCGGACGCTCCAGAACCTGCAGAAGGTCCAGTCTCTGCAACCCGCTGGCCACGCCTCGGTCTTCAAAACAGCTCAGCTACTGGGGAGCCTGTGTGAGCGACAGGCTGCTGCTGAGGTGGCTGTAGACAGTGAAGGTGCAGCGGAGACGCATGAGAAAAGGTCACATCCAGGACAGAAAACTCCACAGCTGGTGCCTCTAACAAGCTCTGACCAATAGAACCAATAGAACAGACCCAAACCACACAGATGCCCATACACTCCACTGACTCAGGACCACTTACAGAGCCGCACTTTGCTACGGCAGCGGCTGCACACCAGTGCTGATATTTGTGGAAGTGTTGATCTAGAATTGAGTTTGTATTGGAAAGCATGTCATGAATTGGAAACAAACGTGATTCTAGATCAGTGCCTCCATGTGACATCTCGCAGGAACCAAAATCTAACTGCCTTCTTGGTAAAGACAGACTATAAAAGCTGTTGTCCTTTAATTCAGCCTTTCTCTGTAGCCCTTAACTACACAAAACACCAAAGACAGACATGCACTGGAATCCAGAGCCTCTCTGCACCTTCTGCAGACACATCCCCTGCTTGCACTTCAGCTCCAGTGTCATGGAGCCAATTATCTGATCACACTGTGCCCTTCTTCTCTGCCTTTACTCTTGCTCTCTTCCACTTTGTTATGTGTCTTTTTTTATGCTATCACATGCTCGATCATTCCTTTGCCTTAAAAGTGGCTTTGCACTAATGTTTAACCCTGCTGTACGTTTCTTCTCTAAGTGCCTCGGTCCATTCAGTCCCGGCTTCCTCTATTCCTTATAATCATGAAGTTATTAAGGGAAAACATTCCGTGTTATTGTTGTTTTTTTTTTATGATTACTGCATTGTGTTTGTGACATGTTGAAAACAAGGGATCACTGTTATTTGTAGAATAGTAGTTTGGCACTGTTTCTGTTTTTAGTTTGTGTATCTGCACGGCGGGCCTTTCTTTTCTTGACAATCACCAGTGAAATAGTCTTGTGGCCATCTTGCCGCCTCTCGTCGTAGTGCTACTATTTAACCGTTCTGCAATGCGCACATTCTGTTGAGTTATTGCACGTATATAAATGCATTTATACCTGAAATTCTAAATCATTGATATCGATGTGTGTGTTGTATGTTATATGCTGTATGTGAAAGTGCTTCGTTGCCATTTTCTCCCTCAGGTTTATAAACTTTTTTTTTTGTGCTGCACAGAATATACACTCTATGCAAAGAGTGAAGAAACTGGTCCTTAATAGTGAAGTTGATAGTTCAGTTTTTCCTCTTCAGTTAGTTCAGCCTTAACAAACCAGCCTGCAGAGTTCACCTTAACACCAACTGAAAACTGACTTTGCAAGGATTAGGCTGGTTTCTGTCAGTTAACCTTTTAGGAGATGCTTATACTGTAACTGTGCCTTTGTCTGCTGGGAGCTCCTATGCAAAACTGCCTTTTAAAGCCTTTATTTTAAACTCCTGTCACTTTGCTTTATCTGCAGGTCTCTTGATGCTGATTTGTAAACTTGTAGCCGAGAGAGAGGTGAAGTTTCTGTTGCTTTTTTTTTTCTCGGCTTGTTTGCTTTCACGCAGTCCGGAGGTGTTGAATAGAATGATGGCCTAGTATATGAATAAACTTAAATTTGTTGTTGTCTGTGTAAAACGCAACCTCAACTCTTTTATTGACGCGTGTACGAATGGGTGACGCATTCAGAGAAAACCGACATAGAGCGCGTTAGCGAGGTGTTAGGCCACCGCATGCTGCCAGAGCTGCTTCACAGCATGTGAGTCACAGCATTTTCAAACCATTCAGTGACCCCTTGCGTCCTATAGATGGGGGCGTTATCGTCCTGGAAGACACCACTCCTGTCAAGATAGAAATGATTATTCATGGGGTAAAACTTGGAGGAGCTTTGTGTTGATTTGCAGTGACTCTTGCCTCTTAGGGGACAAGTGGACTCTAGCATCAGTAGTTAACAGAAACTACAGTATGTTTACTGAAGTGCTTCGGAGATCTGTTTCTAAAGTGTTTCTTTTTATATACAGCTTTATGCCATATTCCAATAAACCTATAAACAGATACTGAAATATTTCTAACTGGACAATTTTTTTGACACCCATAACTACAGATTATTTTGCAGGTTTTACATACAAACATGTCATTAGATTGTAAATTATGAATATATTATTGTAGATGTGACTGCCAAGGATAAAGAGAGTTCAAGGGCATCCCCGCCCAGCCTTGCCACAACGTACTGGCTGCACACAGGAGCGAAAACAACACTTCAAACCTCCCCCAACAGGGCCTTCAATAAGTTAGCAACAAGGTTCACAACAAACAGCGCACATCAAACAGAATAAACAAAGGTCAGACAGAACAACAGTGTCCTTGTGAAGGCAACTGGTGTGTTTGAGATACTTTGAAGGATTTTCTCCAGACCCTGCAACACTCTTCGACAAAATCTAATCGCACTTGGAACAAAAATTATATATGCAAGCGAGGAGTTTCAGATCTACATAAGAGACACTACTTTTAAGGCTGCAATGCACATAATCTGAACAGAGAAGACAGATACTGTGAGAGTGAAGAAAGCCATCTATGTTAAACTGGACCAGACATCTTTAGGTAGAAGAGGGAGTCTGTGACGCCACTTATCATGTGCTTACAATGCAGGCTTGAGAGTCCTCCTCAGGCAGTTTCACAGCTATTCACACCTTAAATAGTATGAGTCTTGGGTCCCTAATAGACAGTGAGAAGATTCAAGAGATTCAAGATTCAAGATCAGCTTTGTTTGTCACATATTTATACACGGTACAAAGTGCAGTCCAGTTTCAATAAAAGAAAAATAAGAAATAGAATAAAAATAAGCGTTAATGAAGTATATATACTTTATGTACATATATATATATACGTATACATACACATAAATAATCAAATAAATAAGCAAATGGAACACTGTTATGGTGCATAAGGTGCATATGTAGAAGGTGCCCGTGTGTGTTGCACAGTCTGGTTTTAAAGCTCAGAGTTGCGCAAACTGATGGCCTGAGGGAAGAAAAAAAAGTGAGTCATGTGATGTTGGAGGTGAGAATAAACACTTACCATAAAAAACCCAACAGTAAGTTTGATATGAGGAAGCCTTCCAATAAGAGATGAAACATCTTCAAAAACCAAAAAAAGGAGTCCAGTTGCCTTTTTGTTGGAGGATTTCAATGATCTCGTTGACTGATGCTCTCCTGAGACATACTACCTACACAGTACTAATAGTTTATTAAGCGTAATAATTCTCTGTCATCTGCCACTTTTATTGCCTTTTATTACTACAAGTAATTTTGCTGGTAATAGTGATGTACTTATGCCCTTGACAGACACACACTGAGTGTTTTGAATAGGAATAGGACATTTTTCTGAAGTGCATTTTCACACCAGAGCTAATAAACCTGCAGTCACACGCTGACAGTGAGCTTAACCCTTTATGGGGCAAGTGACCATATTAAGTAACTTCCTTCAACATTCAATACGTCCGCCCTGTGCCTCTCCTTGAGGTTGAAGAACCATGTGCACTTTGATTTAGTTTTTATATTCGTGCCAATATCACTACCTTACGAAAAATGTCACAAAACAAATGTTCCAGGCACTTTATAAACACTTTGTTACTGGTTTGCATTGAACTCCACTTTGATATATTTTTTGAGATTAGTGCCAAAACCACTACCCCAAGAACAATGTGACTAAATGAACTTGCTGAGCACTTTGATATATAATGTATTATACAATCCCTTTTTTTAACCATAGAGGGGGAAGTTACCATATATGGTAACTTTATTAATCTTGATTTGCTTTTTTTTTTTAAGTCACAAAAGTAAAAATATCTCGAATTATCTTTCAGTAACACCCTCAGGGTTGAAATTTTCCAAGTATTTCAAGGAGTGCCCTGTAAAGGGTTAAAGCAGCTCTATTGACGGACGGTCCTCCGGCCGGTAGGGGGAGCAGCGGCGCTGTGGGCGGTGAGCAGGCGGATGTTGACAGGCCCTCTGCTGGGTTCGAGCCGGGGCTTCTGCCGCTATCACGTTTCCAGCAGCCTCCACATCTAGAACTTTCCCCTCACTTCAGAAACACGCTCCACTTCCGCGGCAAACCCATGGCAAGCGAACGGCAAGTTAACCCAAACACACGCTTTTATAACATCTTTTTATTTTTATACATTTATTCTCCATTCAGAGAGTTAACCGTCGCTCTCTCCTCTTGCTTTAGCAGCTTCCCGGATAGCTTCGTTGACGAAGATCCACAGAAAGCTCTGGAGGTAAACATTAGCCGTAGCGAGCTGGAAGCGATTCACAAGATACCTGGAGGCGCTTGTTGGTCATCACATTTAACTGAAATGCATCGGATTAGCTGCTTTTTGAAGAGAAGTGAAGCATGCCGGGGATGTTAATATTTTTGATGTTAGCCCGGAATAGTGACACTGTCAACAAGCTAGCCTAGTTAGCTAACATTTCCTTAGCATCACTGTGAAACAAGCAGGGCATCGTCGCAACTTTAATCAAAAATAAAACTTCTATGTTGGCATGAGGGTTGCTTTTTTTGTACTGTTAAAAAATACTATACTTTGCAGGAATTAAAACTCGGCAATGTAAACATTAAACAGTCGCTCATTTAGCTATTTACTCTGTTAGCATGACGAGCAAACTCTTCAACATCTTTAAACAGAAGTCAGCAACCGTTGATGTTCATTAGTTGTTTAACCTTTTAATATATTTAGCACACTTTCTCAATATATTTAACACACTCTCTCAGTTTTTCATGTGAATAATAGACTTTGTTTAATGCCCACTATTACAAATAGTTCAGCCTGACCACACAGTCATCATTCATGCTACTGAAAATCACCACTTTTGCCACTTCACTTGTCAAATAGATTTCACAGAGCAAACAGAATCCTGCAAGTCATCCACACACTTGGGTTTTTTTTTCTTGGCTGGTCTGCTGTAACTTCCTCTAAACCAAAAGTCACTCTCTTGCCACCAGCTAGCTCATCAGCAGCAGCTGGTTCGTACTGGTTTTGTTAGACGACATCATATCAGTCATGGCTTTAGTGCACTGGTTTCCTGTTTGTTTTAGAACACATTTTAGGATTATATTGCTCACTTTCAAAGCAAGAGTTTGTCCCCAAGCCACGCAGCAGAACTACTGGCCCCATTTGAGTCAGCGTGCAGCCTTAGATCCTCAGGTGGAGCTTTTATAGCTGCTCAAAGGTTCATGTTTAAACTTAAAGATAATTCTGACATCAGTTCCCCTCAGCTTTGAAGCAACCTGCCCGTGGAGATAAGGCTGCAGAATCAGTAGCTTCTTCTAAATCACTGCATGCAACCCGTTTTTTATAGACTTCCTTTCATGTGATGCTGTCTTCTCAAGACAGCTTGTTATTGCTCAATATGTTTGTTTTTTTTGCTTTTATTATTGTATTTCTGTGTATTTGTATTGTCATGTTCAGCCTCTCTTGTCTTTTTTTTGTAAATGTCACATGAATAATGTTATTATTACTGAATAATTCTCTGCATTTAAAAGATGTCCAGTGGTGATAGACAAGGTTGCAAAAACACCAACATGCCAGCCTCGGTGTCAGCATTTTCTCAGTGTTATTTATGTATTTCTTTATTTGTTTTTACCACTAACGCATCTCTTTTTGAATTAATACAGTTCTGTCAATCTAAGAGCCGTCTCTTTCCTTTCAGGCGCTTAATGAGGCCTTGCAGGGAGACTCTGACAATGCCGAGTGCTTTTGTCAGCGTGCCTATGCCCACATACTGCTCAAAAACTACAGCTGTAAGTCTGTGTAGTTCATCTGCTAACAAAAAATCTTTATTAGTTTGGTGTATTTCACAGTGTATGAGTGTAATCTTGTAGTTGGGCTTTCCGTACACAGTTGATGAACGTGTACACAAATGAAAAATATTCTTTTACTGATGATACAGTTTAGATTAATCAGTATGTGCTGTATAATAAACACTGTGTTGTTTTTTTCATCTCCATAGGTGCTGCTGATGATGCCAAGAAAGCACAACAGCTAAAACCCAGCCTTCCCTTAGCTTTCATGCGAACAGGGTGTGTACTGTGAAATGACAGAGGACATAAGAGGGGGAAATGACCAATATACTATACAATATACAATATAATAATAATTAACTTATACACTCAAACATGTGTATAAGTTAACCTCATGCTACTGGTTATATATTGTTGATTTGGTTTTTAGAAGTTCTTTTTTATTGACTTTAATTTTTTTTTTTAAATGAGAGAGAACCAAAGTACTTACTACAAAATACCTGTGACACAAATACACTGATACACAGACTGACAAAGAAGCAAACATGTAACTGAAGCTGCTGATTTATGACACAAGTCGCTGTATAACTTTGTTCGCAGGCGCTAGCGGTTGCGTGCTGCAGGTGACATACCGAATACTGCACAACAAGTTAAAGCAAGTTTTAAGCTGTACTTTAACCTCAGACAGTTTATTCATAAACCCTCTGTGTATTATTATTGATATACTTCCACTTCTCAAACTACCAAACTAAAAAGTTTGTGGTGAAAAAAATACAATCTGTCTTTGTATGATGATCCAAATTTTGTGTGCCAGAGGAGGTCACTGTTATTTTTCCAGGATTATCTGATCTAATTATGTGTGGCATGTTTTTCCCTTTTTCCCCCCAACTGCAGAATAGCCGAGTACCACCTGAACCACTATGAGTCAGCACACGCAGCCTTCACGCAGGGACACCAACTAGATGGTGAGTACAACCTATTTTGGCCTCAAGTTTCCATCGTCCCACTCCTTAGCTGCTACTGTTCACAGCAGTATCCTGTCTGCTTCGCTCTCTTCATTGAATGCAGTGCTAAGGTTCATGTTCTGTAGGCTTTGGGATATTATGCAGTCATTTATTGTTTGTACCAAAGCTGTTAAAATGCAAAAGGGTACTACAGGGATCTTCAAACATCTGGTTAAACCTTCTATACTAAATCAGTGCACAGCGTCTTGTCTAGTAAACAGCTGATAACAGAGCAACAGCTCTAACATTTATAATCATTTAACTCACTGATGGAACCAACCTAACTGTGATTACAAAGAAAGTTTCCTTCTTCCTCGTTAATTATATTCAGATATCAGGAGATGTGGTGTTATGTTATTCTTTACACATCTGTAGTTGATGCTTAACTTCCTGTGTTGGCACACAGCTGCATATTTTTGCATCTTACTGTCCCCTGTAGATAAATAGAAACGTGTAAAAGCGCAGAAATTTTATAAAATTACATCAAATGTTTTAAACTGTAGTGCGTATTGATTGCCCTTGTAACCTTTGCCAACTGAAATACAACCACATTTGCCAAACAAATGATAATTTGTGAATTTGATCGATACTTTAACATAGAGCTGCAGTGACCTTAGCTCTGTTCGTCAAACTGAATGTCAGCCGAACCGCTCCAAGTATGTACACTAACAAGGATGCCCACTTTATAATTACGTCTGTATGTAAATCTTCTTTATTTAAATAATCGGAAGACGTGTACATTTGAGCAAACGACTGCTCGCAGGTGGGCGATCCCTCATCGCCGTCGTCGGGGCATCAACTGATTTTAATGATCACATTTTTACACACATGTAGTGTGACATGCATTTTCTGAGCTGCTATAGTGTTGAAAAAGGCTCTATGGCTTTAATGGCAAGTGGCCCAGTTATCTTTAGGAGGCAGTCTGTGAGTTTTTGGTCACGATTCTTAACCTGTGGTGTGGTGAAAAAATCCCCAGTACAGGGTTTTGAACAGTTTTTTAAATTGTATTTTTAAATCGGTTGAACTGATGTGCCAAATTTCCTCATTTAGGTGAGCTGTCACATGATTTAGGTGCACCCAAAAATGTGTTACCATGCCTTTTAACAGGGAATAAAGCATTAAATTGTGTCTGTTTCTATACACATGGGTAATTTCTGCTCTTTCTTTTCTAATTTCTTTCACCACATTAAGATCTAAAAACAGTTTACCCCCCCGCTTCTCCAAAGCCCTCTAGGGACAAGGATGCTTTCTTTCTCTTTTCCTTGAATTAAAATGGAAAAAATTGGAGAAAAGAGCTGTAAGCATTGGTGTTGTGAAAAATAGAAAATTTTCAATGCATATTGATTTAGAAGAATTAAAACCATGTCAGTGCCAGTACTCTACAGCGTTGACTCACTGATACCAGCTTTTCTCTGACAGTGAGTTGACACACCACAGTGTCCACACAGCTCCTCAGAGGTGTCTTCTTCTCGATTCATTTGTTCTGGTTAAACAGCATTTTTTATGGTTCTGGAGAGTTTACAAGTGGAGCGCCTCTGCCACGGGTTTAGTGTGTAAAGAAAACAGCTGGGGTGCTGCTGTTTTAGAAGTATTTCAGATTTCTAAAATGTAATCCCCTAAATGTGGTGGTAATTTATTCAAGTGAGAAATCCCAGCATTATGGCAACACTAGTAAACATTTTCACACATATTTCTTCTTTTTTGCAGTTTCTGACAAATCATTTGATATCTGGATCAAGCGGTGTGAGGAGATGATTGCAGGTAAGCAGCTCGTTCAGATGTCTACGATGCCTAAAAAATGTATCCACACCCCCTCATAAATAGTCTAGACTAGAGGTTGCCAGAAGGCCCGTGGGGGATTCTGAAGTCAGCTGGAAGTCGGTGCTTCGGTTGGATGAGGCCTAAACGGAGATTTTTGGCCGTGAGACTAGACGCTGTGTTGGATAGACACCAAACGCCGCACATCATCACAAACTCACCATCCCCACTGTGAGGCATAGCGGCGGCAGCATCATCATGATGTGGGGTTGTCTGTTTTTGGCAGCCGGCCCCGTAAAGCTTGTAAATGTAGAGGGTGAAATTAGGTGCAGCAAAGTATAGTGAAATCAGGAGGACAACCAGATGCAGACAGAGCCCAGACCTCGATCCAACTGAGAATGTGTGTCTGGACTGGAAAAGGGCTGTTTGCTCACAACCCATGAGCAATCTGCCAGAGCTTGAGCCATTTTGCAAAGAAGAACGGACAAAAATTGCGGTGTCCAGATGTGCAAGACCGATTAAAACCTGTCAACACAGGCTGGATGTGTGCATCTAAGGTGAATCAAACAGGCATGAAAGGGATTAATCCTAAAGAAATCCCTTATTTTACATTTTATATTGTTAACTAAATTACATTTCTTTGTAGAAGTCTGTTTTGGTTTGACATGCAAGGAGCTTTTTGGTAAATTCTTCATGACCACATTGTAATTAAATGTGAAAAAGCATTAATGGGAAAACTTTTAAGTAGCGTTAATAGTTCTTTTTTACTCTGTATGTTTTTTTTTTTGTTTTTTTTTAATTAAATCAAACCAATATTACAGTAAACTATATATAAAGTTGAAGCTTTGATTGTGTTTGTTTTGTTTAATTAGCAAATATGTAAAATGTTTATTGGTATTAAATATTTGCACAATATTGCACATGGCAGTTGCAGCTGAAACAAGGTACAGACTGACTTATTTTAACTTCTGCACTATATACTATTTACTCCCTGCCATCAAACATTAAGCTAAATGGCACAGTCAGGGAGCAGATCAGCCCATCTGATCAAACAAACGAGCACGCACACACCCATGAATCTACAGTGTGTGCTCACAGTGGTGGAGGCAAAGCTGCTTAGCCCAATAAAAGATGCATGCCATGTCTGGGTGGTGTGTTTCTGTTTGCTGGTGATGCCTGGGCCCTCTGGATCATCTCAAGTAAACAAGAGCATGAGTTTTGACAAACACGCTTCACACCCGCGTGCACACGTACTCCCAGGAGCAGTATGATTCATCAGAGTTAACGTTACTGATGTTTGAAAGCCCCCGATGAGACCCAGCCCCTTCATAAGCCTGCTCGCAGACAGCACACACACACGCACACGCACACACACACACACACGAGCAGTCAAATGCACACTCGCTCACACCGGGAGCAGTCGCCGTTTCTTCTGGTGACAGTGTGTTTACCACCCGCCAACACACATGGCACCTGGTTATCCTATCACATGTGGCACCCCACATGTATCAGAACACACACAGACACACACACACACAGACACACACAGCTTTTTCTTTTTTCTCTCTTTTCCCCTAACAGCCCCCCTCCTCACCATTTCAAACGCGACCTCATTAAGACAACATTAACACGCCTCCTATCATCTCATCTCATCTCTGTGCTCCCTCTATGTAATGAAATCAGTGAATAATGTATGATAGCATGCTGGTAAACGGTGTTCAGGCTTGCTTGGGCTCACAGGGCTTTTAATGGGCGTGGATGGACCAGTAAACAAACTGGTGGCAAAGCTTTGAGATGCTGCGTGCATGTGTGTCTGTCTGCATATCTCCCAGCTGTAATTGATCTGTAGAGCATAACGTGTACATTGAGGTCTTCGTTTAGCGGTTTGCCGTAATCAGATTTTATAGACCTGAGCTCCATTCAGCCAGTTGAGGGTTGTATTAAACGTTTCCACCTACAACACACCCATTTCTTTCTTCTCTCGACAGATCAGACACAAAACAGCGGCGTCAACACGGTGAGTTTCTTTGCGAGACCACCTGGGGGCATTGTTGCTCTCAGCATCAGTGTGTACGCTCCGGCTTCAAAGAAAGAAGCCTTACTAAGCTTTCTTTTTTTTTCTCTCTCTCTCTCATTTGTGTGCTTTTTGTTTCATCCATTTGTTTTCTCACCACGTCTTCCTCTCTAATTGTCGTCCCGTTTCGGTGGCTGAATGACCCCGCAGACACCGGCAGTTCCACCCGTGAAGTAAGTGCACAAATGTAAATACACCCGATCCAGGTATCTGTTTTATGTTTGCGACTGTTTATTTTATTTATAATGCCGGCCTGATATTTAACCGAGTCCCAGTGCTTCAAAGCAGCTCCGCTCCGTCTGATGTAAATACACAGTTCATAGACAATAGCTTGTTAATGAAGACAGCTGCTTTTTATTATTTTGTGTTCTGGATTGCGTGAAATTTCCATATTGCAGCGACTGCATTAGTAGTCAAAACAGAAAGTTTTCTCATGTAATTAATAGAGCTGCAACAAGTTATTGATTAATTGTATTAATTGCCATCATTTGGGTACTTTGCTTTTTAAAAAAAAGTTTAAATTTGAATATTTCTTGGTGTCATTCCTCCTTTTTCATCGTACATTTATTATCTTTGGGATGTAGACAAAGCAAAACATTTCAGGACGTCATCTTTGACTTTGAAAAACACTGACTGACATTCTCCACCATTTTCTGACATTTTATAAACCAAACAGCTAATCAATTAATCTGGAAAGTAATCAAAACATTTATCAACAGTTAAAGTAATCATTAGTGGCAGCACTAATCATCAGCGCCAGACGTTTTTTTTTTATTAATCAGTTGTGTGTTTTTCTTTCAGGCATGACTGGTACCAAACAGAAAGTCAAGTCATTGTCACAGTTATGGCGAAAAATGTACCCAAGGATGGTGTGCGTGTCAGCTTCATGGAAAAAGAGGTATAAGCGCACACTTGAATGCAGCATTGAGGTGAAGAGAGTCTGTATTTTCTGTGTTGTGGAACCGGGATGGGTTCGCTCTTGGGTGTTTCCTCAGGGGGGCCCATTAGATGGGTCTCGTACACACATTCACACTCACATACACACACACACTCTCCCCATGGACCCAACTATGCCTCCAGTGGTGCCTTGTTAACATTGCCCCCAAAGTACAGATCTAAGAACAGTTTACCCTCCCCAGCTTCTCCAACCTCCTAATTGTCTGTAGATGGAAGGCATAACTGATCTAGGATCAGCTGCAGCGCCCTCCGGGGACGACGCTCCTTTCTTTCTCTTTCCCTTTCCGTCTTTCCACGTCTCTCTCCCTCTCTCCGAGGGGTAACTGCGGGGCACCCCAGGGAACGGCTTTGTCTTTCCTAATAGAATAACAAACTGAGTTTACCCCATTTCAAAAGAAATAGTTCACTTGCTCCGAATAACACAGCCACTTGTTAAGTTCTCTCTGTGGCGTAAAGCACAGATGAGTTCATATATTTTTTACTAGGTCAGTATAGACAAAAGAAATTAAAGATAAAAGGCAGCGGTTCCAGTTTTTTCCCTGATGACTGAGCATGCAGCTGCTGTATACCTACACACAGCGCAGGCATTCGACTAGAAATGAATATTAAGGCTTTGATAGTTTAGCGGGATTGCCCAAAAGCAACTTTCGCTAACTTTCTAAGCTTTTATCCCCGATGAACTACTTCTTTCATTTCTTTGGTCCCCAGTCAGAAAAGTCGGCTTTGGGTCAAGCGGTAGATTGCAAGTGATGCATAGTTCATCCAAAAACAATTAAACAGCAGACGGCATTTTCCTTCAAGAGTGCTGCGGTGTGCCAAGTGATGTCAGGAGTGTGAGGGTTTGGGCCACAGCTGAAGCCATGGCCCTCTAAACCAACAAGCCGCCCACCTCCACAGCCCCAGTGAGTGACAGGCTGTTAGGAGCTGTCCGACCCCCCTCCTCTCGTCTCTGGTCACTTTGTGGCTGAAGGGGACAGCGCGAGGATAGTCCCAGCCGTCACAGCAGCCACATCGGATGATTATTCTCATGAACATGCTGACACATTCACCCCTCCCTCCCTCATCTTCCTTTTCTTCTGTTTGTTTTCTCAGGACTGCAGTTTTAAAAAATCTTAATATTGATGCAACAGTTTTAACACAGAAATTGTTCAAGATGTATTTAATCTAAAAAAAACAAAAAAAACATGAATCACTTCATAGTCATGACATTAATCTGTTTCGTGTTTGTATTTTTGGCTGGTTGTTTATAGCCTGTGTAATGTAATGACTAATATCGGTTTTGTGTGATTTCTTCAGCTGTCTGCCACAGTACAGCTGGCATCAGGGGAGAACTACAACCTCCATCTCCACCTCATGCACCCCATCATCCCCCAACAGAGCAACTTCAAGGTCCTCACCACCAAGGTATGGCTTTCAGTCTTGTTAGTGGGCTGGAGAAGCCTTTAAATTAGGAAGAGAATGTTTGTTTTTAGGGCTGCAAGGTTGCTCGGTGGTTAGCACCGTTGCCTCGCAGCAAGAAGGTCCTGATGAGGACACCCTGGATCCCTCTGCGTGGAGTTTGCATGTTCTCCCTGTGCAGCGTGGGTTCTCTTCGGGTTCTCCGGCTTCCTCCCACACAGTCTAAAAACATGTTGAGATTAATTGGTGATTGTAAATTGTCCGTAGGTGTGAATGTGAGTGTGCTTGTCTCTAAGTGTAGCCCTGTGATAGACTGGTGACCTGTCCAGGTGAACCCGCCCTCAACCCAAGTCAGCTGGGACAGACTCCAGCCCCCCATGACCCTAGTGAGGATTAAGCGGTGTGTAGATAATGGATGGATGGATATTTGTTTTTACATTAGCGGCTTCGTGTATTTTACATCCTAGCATGCGTTTTCAGTACCTTGACATGTCTGTGGCGGTTTAACAGACCTTTTAGTGAGACAGAGGACATGGTCATGAAGCTGAAACAACACACATATTAGCCCTGCTTGCTTTCAAAAGCACCAGTTGTGTTCAATGGTCCATTTTACACTAAAAGGTACATCAAAGTATTGCGACACGTGTTGTCTGATGCTGGAGCACACAGAATAAAACAGACAGCTGACCAATAAGCAAAAACCTGTTTGCTAGTTTGTCATGGTCCTGTCGTTTCTGGAATATCCTTAAAAGTCCTCAGCAGTGTGTTTGTGTCATGGAAGAGACAGGAAATATGATCCCTCCTCTGTCATGGATTCACGGAGTAGCGGTTTGTTTTACTGAATCAGTTGCGTAACCTGTTTCACACGTACAGTAGTATTAGTGTTTTTCAGATGTTTTTTTTCTCCACAGCGAGCACAGCTGTAGCAGAATATAAATCTGTTTACCACTTTACAACTTCTCTAAGCTGCAAAACATAAACAAGGAAGAAACAACCTTTTTAGGTCATGGAAAAATACTTGAGCTAAGTTTTTGAAAGTCAATGAAAAGTCATTGAAATTTTTTTTTTACTCTGAATCATTCGGAGCGCTGTATGTATCCTTGCCGTGCCAGTAGTTACTCTCAACAATAAAGGAGCAGGCTATTAAACATGTCAGAGAACGTGTTTTATGTTGCTGTAAAGAAAATATGACGTAGTAATGTCACACCTCAGAGAAATGTGGGCTTCTGCTGCTCTGAAGCGCAGTTTTGCCAAAGAGCATCAAATGATATGTTAGTCTCTGTTTGTTCAAGCTTTTATCGTCTACATTTTGCATGAGTTGATTTTTTTATGTTGAAAAAGATAACGAATCAGCGAGACCTGATAGCCCAGTGATCGGGGTGCACATGGGGCAAATCCTGATTTGATTTCTGGCTGACGAGACCGTTTCTCTTTCTCCACAGTCAAATAAAGGCCCCTGGGAAAAAGAAAAAAAAAAGATTCTGAATCAAGTGTCAGCAAAAAAGGCAAAGAAGAAAACAATGCGAGTTTAAGCAGCTTACTGAAGCTGTGACTGATCATTACTTGGGTTACCACTCTGAGATCAAAATCTTAATCTCTTCAGTAATTTAAAGCAGTGTAAAGTAGGCCGTCACTACCTATAATGCCATAATGCTGGTAAAGCTTACTGTAGCCGTAGTAGAAACGAGAAAATCCACTCTTTCTGTGCACAGCGCTGCTCCCGTGGAGACGTTAGCGCAGTTCATCTGAGCAGCTAACAGGAGATTCACACATATGCACAAATCCTCCCGCCTACACTCGCGCCGCGCACACACACACATTTATAAGGGCTGTAGTTGCCGAGAGTTCCTCAGCACTGTTTAAGGTGATTACGGACCTAATGAGTAGGAAGGGCACTTTTTACTATAGGCTAATTAGTGTGTATTATAGAGGATGTGGGTTAATGAGTGTGCTGGCTGAGTGCGTGCTGATTCAGGTTTTAGATCGCTGTCAGGTTTTAGCCCGCCGGATCAAGAGGCAGGTTTATGTGTGACTTGTTTTGATTTTTTCTTTTTAATCATTCAGGGGGGTGGGATTTGGATTTTCACCGCATTGATCATTCCGATCTTGTCAATACAAAGCAGCAGAAAGCTTTGCTCTCTTCTTTTGAATCTTGTTTACTCAGAATCTTCAGAAGCTTTCACAGATGCATCATTTTATAAGCAACTCAATAAAAAAATCACCCACTTAAGTTTTAATTTATAGTTTACAAAAAGTGCAAAAGAATGTTTTTCGTGATAACTGCTTTTCATTGCTTGTGATGGTCAGTACCTAATACGCAGTATTTAAGGCTGAATATTGAACCACAACTCTTTCTTTGTACCGACCACTTACTGTTAAATGTCTGAGAGATTTGTAAGTCTTCTTTTTTGCTGATCTCCTGACTGAAACTTTAGATCCAAAATGTAAAACTTAAGGATTTAAAAAGCAGCTAAGTACTACAATATGATTTTTCACATCATTTACTTACCAAACTTAAACTCCGCATAAAGAGAAGAAGTTTATTCCTCACAGAATTATAATATTATTCAATCTTTGAAACTACAGGATGAGAGGCGACCTTTGGGAAATGAAGAAGAGATGTACAAAGTGTACACAAGCCACCTACAGTAGTGGAGAGAAGCGGAGCGAAAATGCTATCGAGACAGATGATTAAATACTAAAAGTAAATCTAGTCGTCTGCATTATATAAATGTCCTCTTAGAAGACAGAACAGTGCTGATGGAGCCTGTTGAGGTTTTACAATACAAATATCAAGTTTATTTTTAAACTTGACGAGCACAAGGCACATCACTCCCCCACTTGTCCGTTTGGTATAAAATAATGCAGCTCAGGGCTTGGTTTAGCCATGCTGGCTGTTCAGAAGTGGGGAATTTTTCACACAAAGGTGACTGATGCAAATTGCCTGGCCTCAGTAAACAGAGCACATGCTGTGAGACGTGTAACCCGTGTTAACACGTCTGTCATTTGCATGATCTTTCCTTAAATGGAGAGACTGCAAAATAATGTGCAAACTATGACTCCAGCCTGATGCGTCTGGTAAACACACCACGTGTCTGTTGAAAAAGAGGCAAAATATCGTATCCTTTGTCAGATTACCTAAAACATGAAAGATTCAGTAATTGATCCTTTAAAAAACAGTAATGCATCAAACGAAAACATCTTTACAGTGTAAAAGGGGTTCCTATCGAGGTGAACCTACAGAGATTTATCACCCAATTCTACAGCTCACCTCCACTTTACAGAGCTTCATGGCCAAATTCAGCTCATTGTGGTGCTGTCTGCTCCCTCCACTTTACTTTTTAAGTTCAGTCCTGTACCAAAGATGGCAGGAACAGCTGTGCGACCATGTTGGCGTAGCGGCTAACTTATGTCCCGTCAGTCTCCATGTTCTTTACATTCTTTGCACAGACAAAAAAAAGCATTTCGCCACACTCAATCACCGAAAATTGAGCTTCTCTGGTAAAAACATTTTATCTACCTGTCACAAACCCCTTAAAATGGCTCTTTTTGCAATCCGAATTTTACCCATTTGGTCAGTATTGGGCTGCAAGGTGGCGCAGTTGATAGCACTGTTGCCTCGCAGCAAGAAGGTTGCCGGTTCGCGTCCCGGTGGGGGCACCGGAATCTTTCTGCGTGGAGTTTGCATGTTCTCCCCGTGCAGCGTGGGTTCTCTCCGGGTTCTCCGGCTTCCTCCCACACAGTCCAAAAACATGTTGAGGTTAATTGGTGATTCTAAATTGTCTGTAGGTGTGAATGTGAGTGTGCTTGGTTGTCTGTCTCTAAGTGTAGCCCTGTGATAGACTGGTTACCTGTCCAGGTGTCAGCTGGGATAGACTCCAGCCCCCCCACGACCCTAGTGAGGATTAAGAGGTGTATAGATGATGGATGGATGGTTCAGTATTGTCTGAAAAGTGTAGAGAAAACTTCTGCTTACTTAATTTTGTCATATTCATGTGCGGGGAGCCAAGGAGGTCAGCCAGTGGGAGGTTAGGTCGTAAAACTGCGAAAGCGTGTGGAACATTCGGTCACCTCATGGAGGAAGGTTGGAAACTCTTTCTGCACCACTGAGCAGCTTTCAGTTTAGATGAACAGGGTGGCATCTTCAGTTCTCCTTAATACATCTATGATCGCATCCTATTTCTGCGACTCCCAGTTCGGGCAGGGTGATATGGCCAAAAGTATTTATCACGATATAAATGAGAAAATTTGCGGTAATGATCTAAGTGACGCTAGAGAAAATACTTCAAAACTGCACAACTTTATTGGAGCAAATTGGGGGGCGGCGGGGGGAGGGCAAATATTCGGATCTCAAAATCGCTATCCAGACACCACAACGACCGAATACTCCGATATCCGGGTCCAGCCCTACTGTGTCAGTCGAAGCACTGCATTCGCCCTCCTTCTTGGTCGCCGCTATGCTTCTCGCTTCATGCACATTAGACTGGACGAAAACAGCGGCACTGCGAGCTTCATTCAAATTCTATCGCGATAATTTCAATTTCATATCATCCCCTAACATTACACTGGTACGAACATGCACAGTACGATATGGCCCAGGCCTACTCCCAGTTAATTGGTTTGAGTTAAGGATGTTCCTAACTACTAAGTTAAAAGTCGATTGAACAGAATTTTAGAGATGAAGCATTTATTATCACAGCCAAAGCTGTGACGAGCTCCATTATGCTTTCAGACCGAGCAAGGTCATAGCACATGTAGGTAAGAGATGTCATATTTGTCTGCTGTGTGGCTAATGTTAGCAGTGCTAGCACTAGCAGGTTCTCGTCCTAGTACCCGTCATGAATGTGGTCAACTGGTTATATGGCAATTAATCTCAAACTACCTCCATATAACCTTAAATTAATGTCAAAATACTGCCAATCCACACTGGTTTTGCGAGATGTCATGTATCCCACTTTCCTGCTTTCTGGGGAGGGGTGGGCTACCGTCTGCTGCCTGTCCAGCAG